GCTGATTTCATTTTATATCAGCTTAACAATATTTTAAATGAAATTCCCAAAGGCTGGTCAATAATAACCTCTAATACATATTGCACTCAAAGACGAAAGCATTGCAGGGCCCAAATCTGATTGCAACATTAGTTTCATCAAGTTTATATTGGTACTTCAGAAAACAAAGTTCTTATTTACAAGTTACCAAGCTGCAGTAAAACTTTTGAGTAGGAACTCATCAATATCTCAGCAGAGTTTGTGTGTTTCTTTTTTGTTTAATGGTTCGTACAGCTGAACCAACAAAGCCAAGGCCATTTAATTTCTAGCAAACAAACAGAAGGATAAACTGCACACACCGCTGAAAGGTTCAAAATACCAAAGCAATGAATGTGATTTAATATTGAACAGTTGTTTGAGGCTGTTTGTAGCTATATCAAAAAGAAAGCTGTGTTTGTTTGCATAGTTACAACTTTCTGCAAAAGAGTTCTCACATAAAACTTTAGAATGATTTGCTTTAGATGGTACCTGCTTTTACATATTAAAACCCAGAAATGCAAAGTCTTAATATTTACAGTTTTCTTTTTTAAATTAGTTTTCAGTAATTATTATTTTATCTCCAATGTTGTTTTGTTAAATATTTTATAACATTTAAAGTTTCTTAACATTTTCTTTTATTGTGAAACCCAATAACTCGTAGAAGCGTCCATACTCTAATCTCTGTATTGCCCACATACATTGCAGGTTGGATCTGCATTTGTTTAGAACTACAAGCTCAGGTAAAAAGTGTAAACAAACTACAAAGATGGCGGACATGCGAGACCAATCGTCAAGTAGAGAGGCTTCGGTAAAGTTGTTTGAATGACTATTAATTAAAATCTCGCTAGCTGAAACATGTGTAAACTGCATTTAACGTGATCTGCAGCAACAATGTAAACTTGTATCAAGATATGTTTGGACATCAGCTTCTGAATGCATAATTACCCAAAGACCTGAGTGAGGAGATTTCTCTGCATGAAAGACTTGTGGATGGCAGATTATCTTGCTGCTGCTTCTGCAATAAGGTAGGTGTTTAAATATGAAAGAAATGTGGATGTGTTGAGATGACTGACAGAGGACGTAACTAAGCAACACAACGATCTGTTAACGATAGTGTGTCCCAAAGCTTGCACACACTACTGTTCCACACTCAAAATAATATGCTTTTCCTTCACAAATAAGTACATACTTTTTTGGGCATAGTAAATATAAATTGGGATCCAGCAAAGGACTCAAATAGTTTGATCAGGTGTGTTTAATAAGGGTTGAAACTAAACTGTGCTGAGCTTTGACACCGGTGGTTTATAGAGTGTCCTAAATCTATCTATCTATCTATCTATCTATCTATCTATCTATCTATCTATCTATCTATCTATCTATCTATCTATCTATCTATCTATCCATCCATCCATCCATCCATCCATCCATCCATCCATCCATCCATCCATCCATCCATCCATCCATCCATCCATCCATCCATCCATCCATCCATCCATCCATCCATCCATCCATCCATCCATCCACAGTATCTATCAAGGCCAGCACAAAATCTTGCAGATAATTTTTAAATACGATGATGCATCTATCCATCCATTCATCCATCCATCCATATGTTGCCTTAACCAATTAAAACTTTATTCTAGCAGCTATAAACTCTGGAAATGACAATGGATGGACTGTCTGAAAAGTGTCAGAAATCCTTTTTTTTAGAAGCACAGAGAATTCAGTGAACCATGTTGCACTCTGTCTTGTGTTATTTTGACATAAGTGGTCCTTTAGTCCTGTCATGACTGGAACAGATATGTTCTCACAGCACTGTGTATTTTACCCCCCGATGACACAGCTGAACATCCCTGCAGGGCAAGACTCCAGCAAAGCCAATGTGAAAACGCATGCTCATTACCGGAAGGGTGGAAACAAATGACAGTGACTTACACGCGACAGCACATTAATTTGTGATTATTAACAATGGTGGCCATTGTGCGGCAGCATGCTAATTTTGTGGCGTTTCTAATGAGCTGTGACAAAAACTGCTAAATAACACAAAAAAGAACACAAGAGGAGGAAAGATGAGGGTAATCAGGAAGTGATTATAGTTTGTCACTTAATCACATGTCTCCGAGGGATGTCTCCATGTCTTAATTAAAGTGCCAAAGCAACATCCTTTTACCTCCAGAGAATGACGGCTGAACAAATGTGCATTGTCTGTGTGTAGGCATCCAAATATAATCTATCAATCAGAAAAGGCTGAGACACCTGAATGGGTTATTGGATTTTGATCACAGATTAGGCTATCGTATGTTTTCTAAACAATGTCTGAACTACAACCATCAACACTGGATGCCTTTCATTTTATTCTGATTGCCATAGATCTGTGCAATTATTGCTGAAGTGGGAGTGTCTGTTGTCTGGAGGTCAGTGTCTTGGAAGGTTGAGCTGGTTAAGTGAAAAATAAAACAGGCTGAAATGAATGAGACCTTCAAATGACTTTGAGAAGTCTAAAACTTTGAGAATAAAAAAAAAACACATTAATATGTATCAATTACACATAACTGAAATATTAGAGTTAATTCTGTAATTCACTTTTAGAAACTTCAGACAAAATGAAAAAAATACCCGAGTGCTAAGCAGGCTAGAGTACATTTATTTTTAGAGATTCATCTGTTGAACTGCTTGTTCTAATCAGCCATTTACAATGCATTGAGACATGTTAATGTGGTTAACACAATCTGCTGTAGCTCAAATGTGACTTTTAACATGGCATGGTTGTTAGTGCCAGATGAACTGATCTATGTATTTTAGAAACTGCTGATCTACTGGGATTTTCATGTACATTTAACATTAGTGGTTCTATCATACCCCCGGTGCAATGAGGCACAAGACGTTTTGCCCAGTTTACCCTAATTTTTCCATTTTGCACCACGTTGTTTAAATAACAAGTCAATTTACGCCACTTTGTGGACTCATGGTTGTTCTGGTGTAAAAAAGAGGTGTGCTAAAACGCATTGTTGGCGCGTTGCTGTTTTCAGAAATTTAAATATAGTGCTCAATAGACCAGGTCTAAAATCCAGGGCAGAGCACGTTAGTTATGTGCCTCACTTACACGCGGCATGTGCAGCAATACGCAAACATATTTACAAATGAGAAAGAATTAAAGGTTAGTTTGTTCATGACAACTTGCTTTTAATGTTGTTATTATTATTATTATTATTAGTATTATTATTTATTATATTCATTCATTCATTTGTCGGCTTAGTCCCTTTATTAATCTGGGATCACCACAGTGTAATGAACCGTCAACTTATCCAGCAAGTTTTTACGCAGCGGATGCCCTTACAGCCGCAACCCATCTCTGGGAAACATCCACACACACATCCACACTCACACTCATACACTACGGACAATTTAGCCTACCCAATTCACCTGTAATGCATGTCTTCGGACTGTAGGGGAAACCAGAGCACCCCGAGGAAACCCACGCGAAGGCAGGGAGAACATGCAAACTCCACACAGAAACACCAACTGAGCCAAGGTTCGAACCAGCAACCCAGCGAAATTCTTGCTGTGAGGCGACAGCACTACCTACTGCGCCACTGCCTCGCTCTATTTATTATATACAAGTTTATATTTGTTTTATTAAAAACAGGCTTAGATTTGACCATATAGGGCATAGGACATGTGTTTGGATATGACTTTGGATATGGTTTGGATATGGTTTGACCACTCTTTGTGATTATTGCTCTTTTTTTCGTTTGCTGGAAATTAGAACTGAATTTGGAAATAGTTTTGAAACAAAATCTTTTTGAAACAAATGCGCTTAACAAACAAAATTAATTAGGCTAATGGATGTCTGTAAACAACACTGTTTACTTATTCACAAAAGAGGAAGATTGGAGGAGGCTCGTTCTTTATCCTTGCTCCACAGAAGGTCGGTTGAACTGTTTTCTGTTTTCCACTTACAAAGTCCACCATGTAAATAGCAAATGCACCATGACGTGACACAACTGACTCTGGAATAGGAGACTCTGATTGGGTTATTCCTAAACCACACCCATTATTCATTTTAAGAATAAGCACAACCCTGTTAGACCATGCGCCATTTTAAGAATTTTGTCCATCCTTAAGATAGCGAAAGTGGATTCGGACACGCCCTTAATGCTTTTGCGCCCTGCACTTTAGACTTTGTGCCTAAATCGTTAAAATAGAAGCCTAGAAGAACAGAGATTTGACGACTTTTAAATATTGTATTGTAAAAACTATTAAGTTACTACTAAATTAATTACTTAACTATAATCACTTAAAAACCAACTGTAGTACCCTGACTTTTAAATATTTCATTTTATCATAGAAATGTTATTAAAATGACAAAACACAAGAGTATTTCTAATTTCAATGGTCTTAACTGTCAAACTGATCACATACTACACTCACAGAAATATTTCATCCAAAAATTAAGATTTATGTAATTTTATTACATGACAAATTCCCATTTATATTTTTTTAAAATAATTTTAACACAAATCTACCAAATAAACTTTATACTATTTATTTTCATAAGGATAATAAAACCTATTTATTTTAAATGCATAATCCTCAGGTTTACGTAATTAGTTCATGTAAAGTGTAATTATTCTAAATTAATAATAAAAAGTGTATTTATTTTAAAAAATAAAGTTTATTGTATAAATTGCATAATAATTAAGAGAACTAAATCGGGGTAACTAAAAAATATAAATAACATTTATTTGAATCATGTTTAATGTATGCTTATATACTAAACCAAATCAAACAATGCATCACATTGAATTAGACCAACTGGAAAATTCCAGATTTATTTATATTTGTCTTTCATACAAAACTCTGGATTTAGCCAAGTTAACATCAGCCAACATTTAGGAAACCATCCATATGAACCCACTTACACAGCCACACTCGAACATCACAATACTGCTTGGACACCCAAAAAAAAAATTGATAAAAAATAAAACTGTACTCAGAGATCCATTTTCAGTTGCTAATTAACATATCATTATAGAACTAGGAAATCATTTTAACATATCTCTGGGTTGGAGCACAATGTGAAAAAAAAAATGGGTAGGGGCTGTATAAGTTATTATTTTTAGCCAAATCACTGGAGCAATTTCAGTTTCAGTGTCTGTACTTTCGGGGAAAGCTTGGTTGAGTCCAGGTCCATCAGGATTTTCTGATACACCTCAAAATGTACACTTCAGGCTTTTAGGGTAGTTCAAATTGAGTGCGTAGATCAGGCCATATAACATACCCCTGCATGAGTGACACTCTGCAGGTTGTGGAGAACCTCCACACCTTCCAGCACAACACGGACATCAGTGAAGCGTCCATCACCCTGACCATGATCCTCTGATTGTACTTTGTAGATACCCATGGTGTTTCCTGCCATGTCTTCCTCTGCCTCTCTGGATTCAATGTCCTGGAATGTATAAACACACACTTATAATATTACACACACACGCATGCACGCACACATACGTAGATCTTTTCATTAAAGCAGACAGCATATATGCATTCATGAGAACGGAATGGATGCAAGTTCAGGATAATGACCTTAAGACCTGATCACCCCCTAAAAGCCTGGAAAAATAAAAGTCACAAGGCTGTGGATAATAAGTTAACAACAACACAATGCATTTTATCTCCAGTTGTGCAATTTCCTATTAATGTAACAACAACAACAACATTATAATATCTGAAAATTATACAAGTATTAGTCTTGTTCTCACTTGATTATGGGTCAACCCTTCACTTGGGGTGAGGTTTTTTATTTTAGAACGGAGGGATTTCCGGGGAGACTGCAGAGATTTTTCTTCCAATGAAGCCATTAACCTGCCACAAAAAAATGCAGTTCAAAAAAGTTAACTAAAAATGGAGACGCTTCTCATGAATGCTGTGCACCTTTCTGCCAATGTAACAATTTATAATCTGACAATCAAGTCAGGATGAGTGTAGTATGTCCATCAAGCCTGAAACTTACCCAAAAATAAAATTTTTACTCACCCTCGTGTTGTTCCAAATCCATATCAGCTCTGTTTATCTTTAGAACACAAATTAAGATATTTTGGATCTGATCCTCTCATAGACACCACTGAAAGTGCACATTCAAATTACACAAACCTACTAAAAACATAGTTAATGTAGTCCATGTGACATGGGTCACTCAATTTTAACATGATAAAGCAACAAGAATACTTTTTGGCTGAAAAAATTATAAAAATAAAGACTTTATGTTTGTGGACTTTAAATGTGCATTTTCAGTGATGTCTATGGGAGGATCAGAAAGCTCTCAGATTAAATCCAAAATATCTTAATTTGTGTTCCAAAGATGAATGGAGGTGATACAGGTTTGGAACAACACGAAGGTGAGTAATTGATGACAAACTTTTCATTTTTGGGTGAACTATCCCTTTAAGAGTTCCATCCTGATGAAGCGGTTTCTTCCAATGAAATTACTCTAATAAACCGCAGGTGCACCATGACGTCACTTACTGCTATAAAGCTCCTATCATTACATAAAACGATAGAGTTTACTCCACATCCATTAGCCCCAACAGTAAAAAGATCCATGCTTTTAATTGTACTGCTTTATTTACCTTTTGACATTGGGCTTTGGCTTCACTGACTGCCTCAGATCCTCCACTACCTTTTGAGAGAGAGAGAGAAAGAGAGAGAGCGAGAGGGAGAGAGAGCGGGCGAGACAAAGAAGAATAATTATCTCCTTGTTTTTCTGTATAGACAGCAACCATAATTATACTAAAAGGTGTGCTAATGGATAAAGACAGAAATTACATTATTTTGTAAACTACATTGTTAAAAAAAATACAAGAACCCACCAAAATCTAATTTTATATATTTTTAAAATCTATGTTACACCTGTAAGATAACAAGTGAATACAAAAGAAAGAAAGGAGAAGGAGAGAAGGACCGTACAGTGGGGGACAACAGTGAAAGAGCAGGAGGGAGAGAAAAAGAGACTAAGAGGAGAGTAGGGTGGAGACTGAGGTAGGGAGAGGGCAAATGAAATGGAAAACAGCTGATTAGTCCTTTACCTTTACTAAAATGTCCACATACTTGCCATATCTTCAGAGACGACAAGAAGGCTTCCTTGTGCGTGATGTTCTCAAGGCGCTTGAGTTCGTAAGCATGAACATGCATCCAGAACATGCATCCTGATGATACAAGGCACTTCTTAGTAAACATTTCCAAAATCATATCAATGCAGTAAAATCATTTCAGTTTCATGAGCACTGGGAAATGTCTGTGTCATCACCTTGTTGTTTAGGCGAGGATTGTTGTTTCTGGCGGAGAAGGGGCATGTGGGTGCCAGAACCCAGACAACTTCATCTTCAGGTTCCTCTGGACCAAGCAGATTTAATTCCCTCAGAGTGACAGCTCTACCACCATTTACCTTGCATGATTTTTTTTATTCAAAACAACCCAATGGACTCAATGTTGAAATACTGGTGGTCAATGTGTCCTAATGTCCATTCCATTCTCATGAACAATCCATATTATCAAGATGGAAAAATTACTGGCACACTATTCTGATACATACCACATATTCTTTAACAAGTGTGTCCAGGTCTTCATTGAGGTAGATGCTCAGACAGCTCATCACACAATCTCGCCTCACATTGACATCTTCATTCTGTTAAAAGCCAACAGATTCAAAGACATTTCTCTTCTTGACCACACCAATCACCTTGTTTTACACTGCAAAAACTAACAATCTTATAAAGTTTATTTGTAATGGAAACTCATTTTCAGGCTCCTTAAAATAAGATGATTGTTACATCTTTCTATCAAGCAAGTAAACTCCCATTGATTTCAGTTAATTTTAATTGTTGTTTAATTTTATTATTCTATATACAAGGCTTTACAGTATAAAAAGGCTAAAAGCAAGTTTCGATAACACTGATATTGTTTTATATAAATTTTAATCAATTTCAGCATTATATTGAAAATCTATTTTATATTACATTGACTGAACATTAATTAAAAGTTCATCTAATATGTTATACATGTTAACGTGTAGATCTTTTAACTTATACTTACAAAAATCTATGTTTCCACGTGGAGGTGAGAACACGGCGAGAGGAAAACTAAGAAAATACCACCAGTTACGTTTCTGGAAAAAAGAAAGTAAGAATAAAATAAGTGGTGTCATTCAGTTCTGTAATCTAACTAGCCGTAAAACAGCAAACATTAGCTTACATATTACAGTGACAATTCTTGACTTCAAATTCGATTCTCTTTATTTTCACAAACATAAAAACCGACAGCAATGGGTTAATTTGATTAATTGATGCATTTTAAAGTTGTTTGGCTAAGCTTACTGAAGTTATGATTCTAACGGGCATCTGTATTCTCCTGTAAACCAATGTACAATAAAACCGTTTAAAAAAATCACAAACTACATAAAACTTACCATAAATGGATTACTATTATATACACTTGATGCTAAATAAAAAAATAATTAGAACAGGAGCCATACAACAAAGGATGTTTCGGATTACTTACCAACATGTGTGTGACGGATTCCCACAATATCCCGAGGGCTTGTGTCCAGGGAAAGTGATGTCATTTCCTGTTTCCAAATTGATTTTTTTCATAACTTTGATGAAAACCAATCACATAAACTTTAAATAACAGAATCTTGTTTGTTTTATAACTCTTATTATTCAAACAATGTTAGTATTTATTAACTAAATGCATTAAATAAATTGTATAATTGATTAAATCTTTTAGAGTATATTTACTTTTAATGTATACATTTTAAAAATATTCGTTTTTAAATAAAGTCAAATAGATGTAAATGCATAAAAACTAACTCTGCCATGAATCATTTCTGTGAGTGTATACAGCCTCTTCTACTTATTCTGTCTCCGTCTGTTCGATGTCACCAAGCATGGAGAGCATTTATGAGACATGTATTACAATATGTATTTTAAATACAAAATAGTATATTGTAATTTGTATTTGATAGAGTATCAAATAATTTGTCTTGTATTTTCATAAAACTGTAAAATACTTTGTAAGAAATCTACATCAATCTACATCATATAAATGAACCCTCTGATTGGTGCTTTGGATGTTATTAACTCATCCATTTAAAGAAGAATTAAAATAATCTTGGGAGTATATTGTACAAATAATAGCAGTTTTAAATGGATTGCTGATGCCAAATGTTTGTTTTTAAAACAAACAACATAAAATTAAGTCCTACAGTGGTGATTCATACAATACTTCATTGGATGTTTTAAATGCCAGTAGTTGATCAGTAGGTACACTAAATAGTTAATGAAGAGGAAAGATCTAAGCCTTAAGATGTCACAACATATGAAACACAAATATTTAATAATCCAAAACTCCTGATAAAAAAAATAGATTTAGGAAAATTTCTGTAAAAAAATAAAAAAATTAACTCTTTATTTATTCATTCATTCATTTTCTTGTTGCTCATTCATTCATTCAGTTTCTTAGTCCCTTTATTAATCCGGGGTCGCCACAGTGGAATGAACCGCCAACTTATCTAGCAAGTTTTTACGCAGCGGATGCCCTTCCAGCTGCAACCCATCTCTGGGAACGAATAGGTCTAATTGATGGAAGATTTGCAAAGAAATGTCATGCTCTTTTGTAAAACTATTTTGTGATTTTTTTAAATTGCAAAATACTGTATTTTATTTGGACAAATTTGTGGCTGCTGTGTTTTGTGGTTAATTTTGACATACCTAAAAATAATGTATTAAGTATTTGATTTTAAAATACATTTTAATGTATTTTTGCCCAACTCTGGCTAACACCTTTCTGCTAATAAATACATATCTTTACTTGAGACATGTCTTTTAAATTATTACTGCAGCAAAAATGAATCTTTCTTTATAGATGGAAAAAAGTGAGATTAATTGTAACATCTTAATAGAATCTGATGTGCTAAAAATTCATTTCAGTACAGTCTTACATGATCAGTCATTCTAGTAGTTGTGGAACTCTGGTAGTTCTGTCCACTGTGCTCTGCCACTATACTGCAGCATGTAACCATCTGTAACTCAAATAATCTCATAATATTTTCCTGAACGTGACAACGAATTTACTAAATTCAAAAGTCCTCAATAGTCTCCAGATTCCAATATAATAGAGGACATTTGGGATGTGCTGGAACTGGAGATTCACATTATGCAAGTGTCTTCACTACATTCAGTCGGCTGTGGCAAGCTTCCACACCAAAAATCATGACCATGACTGCAGATTCTAAATATATAATTGTATAGTGTTTTATACTAGCTGCTGACTGAGGACCACCTGTCCTCTTCATGGTATGATTCCATCTATGAGAGCTGGTATATATTTTTTTACTAGTTAAAATAAACAATTACAACACATTTCCTGCTTGTATGATTACTGATTGCACCATAGGTGTAAAAAACATCCCAGAGGAGACACTGAACTGGACCAAAATCTCCGAAGAATGTTTCCAGCATCTAGTTGAATTAAATAATTAGAAAGACTTTAGGTCTACAAAGATGTTGCACTCATATTACAATACTGTATATGGGGGAAAACAGTATCTTAGATAAGTATCTAAATTCATATTTTTCTTAAAAAATAAATGAAAAGTGAACAGATGGCCAACTACTTTTGGTGAGGTTCAGAAATTGGCATTCACTGAACACTTTACAATCTGATATGGCTATACACAGGATGTGAATGGCAGTGAATTAAGCAACAACTAAAACTCTTAGTTGTAATTGTAGTCTGTCACACAATCACCATGTCACACTAAGATCTGAGTAGTCATAACGTAAGATTGAACAAGAAGACACGCCAAACTAATTGTCATCAATCCATGACACGTTCAGTAACATTCTGAAATGGTAACTCACAGTAAACACAAACAATCTGTAGTGCTCATTTTACTCATAACATATCTTGATGATTCATTGTGAAATAGGTCATCAGGTTCAGACCTCCTATTGGCTCTTAGTTAGAAATGCAAGCATTTATTTATTTTTTTTTGTCAATGGAATTTAAAACAGCGACCACGTAGGGAGATGCGGAGTGTATGTTTTACTCTCAAGCTGAGCGCTCCATGTTTTTGAAAGCTCCGACAGCTGGAAAAGCGCTAGCAGCTGAGCATTTTTAGAACAGCACTTCAATGGACACGCGCCCTAATAGATGTCACACTGCAGGAAATTGTCTGAAATCTTATACATTTTCAGAATTTCATTGGGAGGTAAATCTGATTGCAGCAGTCATTAATTGGTTGTTGAACACATTAAATACATAATACATTTGATTTTTGGCCATGATTTTTTTTTTTATCTGAGACAAAATCATGGCCAAAAATGTATTATGTATTTTTTGTGTTCATCAACAGCCGGTTAAAATCAAATGTTAAATGTATTCATCCACTTCATACTTTTAGGTTTATACTACAGAACGGACTCATGAAGTCAGTTTTAAACTAAATGTTTAAGTCATTATACAGTATATTATTTTAGACACAATATAAATTTTGACATTTTACAGAGGCAGGAAGGGTTGCATATGTGCAATGTAAAAAATGCAAGCACATAATTGATGTATGTTAAGTCACCAAGAAGGATTCAACTTAACTAATTAGTTTTTACAAATTAAAGTGGATAAAACATAAAACAATAAAGTTGTCCCAAAAAGACCCTCAAGAATTGTGTTGTTTTAGCTCATTTTAAATAAGTAGTTTGAACAAACAGCAATGTTTTTTTAAGTGTGGTTTTAGAGCACACAATTCTTCTATAATAATTTCCCCTATTATCAAATGGATAGCAAGATAGCAGGAAAATAAGCTAGGAGGCAGTTTCTTTTACTAAGATAAATAAAACAATATAAAATAAATACAACCCTTAGCAACCCTCCTCAGAGAAAATGAATAGAACTCCTCAGAATAGAGATAAACTCAAACACTTGCGTGACTTAAGTAAAATGAAAGCAGTGATGCAGTTATTTCATAGCCTACATTGTTTTTTTCTGGACCACTGCAAGTACACCACTCCGGTCTCCTATGTTTGGTACTGACTCTGAATCATTTATCATAATATCCGGCCGCTGCTCACACAAAATGTGCGACTCTCTGCTTTCCGCCAACACATCTGAGCAAATCATATTTACTATCTCTAAATCAAACCGACACTTTTAGTGGGAAGCATCTGATGTATTAAGGAATACTCATGCGCTTGCTCACGGCACTGCCTGTGATTAATCCTGCGTCCCATTGGCACAACCTGGAACTCCCCTAATGTGCTTGTGCTGTCGAAACGTTTTGCAGAGCGAGTCTGTCAGCTTTATGAAGTCGGACTTATTTAATGGAGTCCACCTGCTGCTGCTGCTGTGCGTCTGTGAGAGGGAAGCGAGGATGAGGAATGCGAGACGTGGTTGCCAGTTCTTTATCTGCATCACAAATGACAGGGAAACCCCTCGCTCGTGTGTCCATCACTAATCCAAGGTGTCGGTTTGAGTTCCGCCACAGGACAGAATGCTAGACATCTGCAGAGAACATCTGGTCAAGTGCAGCATTTAACTGACGGGATGAGAGGTTGTTTATCATCTGTTTTCACAAATGGCCATTGCACGTAATGATAAGGATTGAATGGCAGGCAAAATTTGAGAACTCAACCACGACTTAAGAATCAATTTATATGTTATGTTATTTTAGGTTTTATTAGTGGTGTTTTAGGTTGGCTACATCCTGTGTACACTGTAATGTACAAAAGTTTTTTGTGTTGGTTGGATAATACCTCCAAATAAGTTGCTTGCTAATGAAAGATGCAATGTTTTATGTACATTTGTCTCCAAGTGATCTAAAAATGACATTTGTGGATCTACAGAAAATTATGTATTATGCATGTAAGGCCAGTATTTGTCGATGTGCTTGAGAAATGTTAAACTCCTGGCCAGCACTTTTAACAAATTGAATATCTTAAGATCGTTTTAAACTGGAAGATCGACATCTGCAAAGTCAACTAATAAGTCAACTGATAAGATTATAAGAAACCATTACTATTAACTGTTACATTTGACCTAATAGTAAAATAATAATAATAATACTAATAAATAAATAAATTAAATTATATAATGTATCCTGTGTCTCAAAAAATGGGATTAGTTTAGTTAGTTTAGTTTTAAGAGTTCCCATATGGATATGCTTGGCATTAATAGCAGGTTTGGCATGCTGTCCTGGGGAGAACCCTGAGCTTAGAGATAATTGAGCCCAAGGCACCACCAATAAGCATATAAGGGGATCTGAGATTAGGTAGGTCTCGAGAGCTCCCCTTAGAAAAAAGAGAAAAAGTAGGAGATGGGGTGGAAGGGGGGATTATACCAAAACGAAGATAGAGCAGTAGGAAAAAATCAATCCATTGATTTTAAGCTTGGATCTGATTAGATTATTACTGATTACAGATGAGCAGGCAGTCTTGCTCTATCTTATCACGTGCTCCTCTAGAAATTAGTCCATGCAACTTTATTTAGTTTAAACTTTATTGTCTGTTCTGCTTGGCAAAGAAAATAAATTTGTCTTTATCACTTGTAAC